GGGGCATGTGACAGTCACACGGATGTTTTCACACCAGCAACCCAGCAACATTTCTTCCTGAAAGACAACCCATTCTGCTGCCAGCCTTTAAAAAAGAAAAGACCATGTAACAAAGTAACTACAGCTTCTGTTTGATAAGAGAACAGGGTCTTTGAAGCCGGATCTATCACCGCCTCAACTGTGTGTAACACTGGGTGAGATACTCAACTTCCTTCTCAGGCCTCCCATTTTGCTTCTGTAAAATGGGCACGCAAACAGCAACTGCCTCCTAGGGTTGTGGTTTCATGTTAAAACATAAACAAGCAGCCCTGACTGGTTTGGCTTAGTGGATAGAGCATTGGCCTGTGCATGTTTCTTGACTTCATGTAGGAAAGATTTCACAACACAAGCCCAGGTGATTTTGCGGGCACATTTATCACAGCTGGGGACAGTGAAACAAAGGAAGAGCTTAGGATAGAGGAAGCAACGGGTGAGAGAAGGAGAGCCTGCGTGGTGCTCTGCTTTGGCTCTCTGGAAATGTTATAGGGGAGAAGTGAGCCGTGATGCGGCTGCTGTTAGCTCCCCGAAGTCAGAGGAAAGGGGGCCTTAGAGACAGAATCAGAGGGTTAGCCCAGGACAACCGGCCATTGCCAGTTGCTCCCCTGGTTGCAAGTCTCATGGAGACCCTTAGAGCTGGGGGGTGGGGGGCAGTAAAGATGCACACTTGAAAAGGAAGAAAAGTGTGGACGTGCTCCAGAGAGAGCCCCTCCTGGGTTTTTTTTCTTGAGAGTTCTTATTTGTTTTCTAAAGGTGGGACTTTTAGGGAGGTCTTAGAGCAGTGGTTCTCCACCTTCCTGATGCCGCGACCCTTTAATACAGTTCCTCATGTTGTGGTGACCCCCAATGTCATTGTCACAAATTGAACATCATTAAAGCAGAGTGATTCATCACAAAAACAATAGGTAAGTATCTATGTGTTTTCCGATGGTCTTAGGCAACCCCTGTGAAAGGGTCGTTCGACCCCCAAAGGGGCCGCAACCCACAGGTTGAGAATCCCTGTCTTAGAGGAAGATCTCGGTAGAATATTTATCAGCATTATGCTGATTCACCATAATGAGGTTTATTCCCCTGACCTCATTCCTCCTTGGGTGTGGTTGGCACAAATGGCATTGGTTGGATTTCTGTTATCTATCTCCCTGAGTTGGGTAATTGAAGCTGTTTACCCTCTGGTTGGAGAGAAGTGTAAACCATTTACTCTTCTTCCCCCCCCCCATTTTTATTGAATTTATTGGGGTGACATTGGTTAATAAAATGATATAGGTTTCAGGTGTACAATTCTATAATATGTCATCTGTATATTGTATTGTGGGTTCACTGCCCTAAGTCAAGTCTCCTTCCATCACCATTTATCCCCCTATACCTACTTCTATCTCCCCCATCCCCTTTTCCCTCTGACAATCACCACACTGCTGTCTGTGTCCATAAGGTTGTGTTTTTTTCCCCTCACCCAAGGATATGTTTTTGTTTTATTTTTTAAATATTTTATATGTTTTTATTGACTTCAGAGAGAGGAAGAGAGAGAAAAAGAAAGAAACATCAATCAGTTGCCTCCTTCATGCACCCGGACAGGGGATAACCTGCAACCTAGCTGTGTGCCCTGACTAGGATTTGAACTCACAACCTTTTGGTGTATGGGACAATGCTCCAACTAACTGAGCCACCCAGCCAGGACCCATTTACTCTTAAGTGTTCTTGGTTAGGGAAGATAGGATTTTGTGATTTACTAGATGGCTGTAAACTGCTTGGTCATTTAACTATCTGTCTCAGTTTCCCTTTTCCACTTGTGTTGGCTTACTAATTTGTCTCACTAGAATGCTGTACACATTTAAATGGAATGGGGAGAGGAGGTGACTCACAGATATTAGGGGTCAACCTGGTTTATACCATCTGATCCATCAGGGATTTATTCTGGAATCCAGTTAGCTGGGGGGCTAACTCAATTTTTTCCCCAGTTAATTAACACAGCAATTCTCAGCACTATTGACATTTGGGCCCAGATAAGTCTTTGGTGAAGGGAGGAGAGAGAGACCGTCCTATACACTGTAGATGTCTAGCACCATCCACCCGCTAGATGCCAGTAGCATACACACAACTGCCACCAGACATGGCAACCAAAAGTGTCTCCAGATATTGCCAAGTGTCCTCTGGAAGGCAAATCACCCCCATTTGAGAACCACTGGTTAAAACTAGAGGCCATTGGTGAATGTGAAGGACCAGCCATATGGCTGAAGTGGCTGACTCAATGGCTGGAAGCCCTAGGTGGCAAGGATGGGGATTTCTGGATGGCAGAACTGGAGGCTGCCATCAAAAAGGAGTCTGGACCTGCTGGTGTGACTCAGTGGTTAAGCCTCAACCTATGAACCAGGAGGTCACCATTTGATTCCTGGTCAGGGCACATGTCCAGGTTTCGGACTCGATCCCCAGTAGGGGGTGTGCAGGAGACAGCCAATCTATGATTCTTTCTCATCATTGATGTTTCTATCTCTCTCTCCCTCTCCCTTCCTCTCTGAAATCAATAAAAATATTTTTTTAAAAAATATTCTGCACAGCAAAAGAGACCATCAAAAAAATGAAAAGGGAGCCCACCGTATGGGAAAACATATTTGGCAATGATACATCTGATGAAGGGTTAATATCCAAAATATACAATGAACTCATACAACTTAACAAAAGGAAGACAATACAATTAAAAAATGGGCAAAGGACCTAAATAGATACTTCTCCAAAGGGGACATACAGAGGCCAAGAGACATATGAAAAAATGCTCGAAGGCACCGGTCATCAGAGAGATGCAAATTAAAACAACAATGAGTTATTACCTCAAACCTATCAGAATGGCTACCATCAACAAATCAACAAATGACAAATGCTGGTGAGGATGTGAAGAAAAGGGAACCCCAGTACACTGCTGGTGGGAATGCAGACTGGTGCAGCCAGTATGGAGTTTCCATACTGAAGACAGTATGGAGTTTCCTCAAAAAATTAAATATGGAACTGCCATTTGACCCAGTGATCACACTTCTAAGAATATACCCTAAGAAACCTAAAACACCAATCAGAAAGAATGTATGCACCCCTATGTTCATAGTAGTGCAATTTACAATAGCTAAGATCTGGAAACAGCCCAAGTGCCCATCAGCATGGAATACTATGCAGCAGTAAAAAAGGATCTCTTGCCGAAACCGGTTTGGCTCAGTGGATAGAGCGTCGGCCTGCAGACTGAAGGGTCCCAGGTTCGATTCCGGTCAAGGGCATGTACTTGGGTTGCGGGCACATCCCCGGTGGGAGGTGTGCAGGAGGCAGCTGATCGATGTTTCTCTCTCATCGATGTTTCTAGCTTTCTGTCTCTCTCCCTTCCTCTCTGTGAAAAATCAATAAAATATATTTAAAAAAAAAAAAAAAAGGATCTCTTACCCTTTGAGACAGTGTGGAGGGACTTGGAGAGCATTATGCTAAGCGAAATAAGCCAATCAGAGGAAGACAAGTATCACATGATCTCACTCATATGTGGAATCTAATGAACAAAATTAACTGATGGACAAAATAGATCCAGAGACATAGAAGCATGAAACAGACTATCAAATCTCAGAGGGAAGGAAGGGGTGGGTGGAAGAGATCAACCAAAGAACTTGTATGCATACATGCATAACTCATGGAGACAGATAACACGGTGGTGAAGGCAGGGGCAGGGGCGTGCTAGAATGGGTGAATAGAGGATAGGAAGACATATGTAATACTTTCAACAATAAAGATTTAAAAATAATAACAATAATAATTTTTGAAAAGGGGTGTGGCCCTAGCCGGTTTGGCTCACTGGTTAGAGTGTCAGCCCATGGACTGAAGGGTTGCAGGTTCAATTCCGGTCAAGGGCATGTACCTCAGTTGCAGGCTTGATCCCTACACCGGCAGGGCACATGCAGGAGGCACCAACGGATGTATCTCTCATATCAATGTTTCTCTCTCTGTCCCCCTCCCTTCCACTCTCTATAAAAATCATATCCTCCTTGAGGATTAACAAAAAAAAAAAAAGAGAGAGAGATCTGGCCTTCACTTAAGGGACGTCACAGGAAGTTTTGTACTGCCCCTGATAATAATTGTAATACTAATAGCTACAATTTATTGTTTAATCTGTGTGAGGGGAAACTGGGGCCATCTTACTCACTGGGCCATGGCATCTGACTTTCCCCACGGGACTGGGGGGGTGGGCATTCCTGACTGCCTGTCTGGCAGATGAGAAAATTCAGCCACAGAGGCAAAGCTGCCCAGGCAAGGTCATATGGCCAACAGGAACTGTGAAAGGTAGGGTACTAGCTTGTAATAAATTATAACACTGGAGCAGAGAGGTGCTGATCTGAAGAAAGCAAAGCAGTCCCCAAAGCTCACCGTTCCCCCTCCCCCTTGAAATCCAGCTCTAAGTCTTAATCCCTGAAGTTCCAACCCGGGCAAGGCTAGGGTGACCCCGCCTGCTACAAACCCAAGGCCCAGCAGAAGTGTCCAGGGGGAGCGCAAGCCTCCATCAGCTTCCACAAACATTCCCAGGAAACATGGAAGGAAAATCTGGTTTTACTGTCTATGCAGCTTCAAGTCCTCCAAGAACCTATCGCCCTCCCCCTCTCCAAGACAAATCGCAACTCGGGAGCCACCAGTTTGAGCCCACAAGAAGTCCTCCCAGTAATTAAAGGGTTCTAGGAAGGGTATCTACATGGAATGGTTCGGACAGAGAAACTGAGGCAGGGCCTCCCGGGCCGGGGCGGGGGGGGGGGGGGGGGGGCGGTGACAGGATGTCTCCATGCTTGTTTACCCGGCCTCTCCCTTCCCCCGCCCAATCTCTGCAAAACGCGAGTCGCCAGACCAGGCTGGGGGCGGGGAGCGGGGGGGGGGGGAGTACAAGATGCTGATAGCGCCTGACGGGTCTCCCCGCCAAGGCCCGGGGTGGGGGCGCACGGGGCCCTGGAGAGCCCCAGCGCGTACCCCGGGAGGTCTCCAGGTGGCTGGCTTCCTCCACCCCCGCCCGCTCTGTCCCAGGGCGGGACCAGGGGGCGGAGCGGGCCGGTGACAGGCCGTGACGCGGGCCCCACCCTTTCTTATAGAGGCACGCGGGGGGACTCGGGGACCGTGTTTCGTCGTCGCTGCCGCCGCCGCCACCGCGTCCACCTCCTGCCCCGCCACCACAGCTCCCAGCATCAGCGCCACCGCCACCGCGTCCGCCAGCAGCGCCACCGCCATGCGCGAGATCGTGCACCTGCAGGCCGGCCAGTGCGGCAACCAGATTGGGGCCAAGGTGCGCGGGGAACCGGGCCCCGGGAGGTGGCTGAGACGAGTGGAGCGGGGCCCTTGAACTCCGCGGAGCTTCCCGACCTTGGGCCTTTTGGCCAACGGGGTCTCCAGGAGGCCAGCACCCCAGGGACGGTGAGGGAGGGGGCGCGGGGGCTGGACCAGGCTGCGAACAAAGGGGCCAATGGGGGTGGGGACCAGCCTTCTGTCTGCTGGCCACAGCTGGCTTCACAGCTGGCCCACTGTCCCCTGCACACGCACAAAGAGTCCCAGACTCTCGCGCTGGCTGCAGCCAGGGTGCACTGACACCAGCAGTCTTGGCTGGCGACTCTGCTTCACCCTGCCCCCACCTCTCCCTTCTTGCTGTTTCATCCCTGCCTCCCCACCATGCCTTTAGGTCCCCCGTTCACCTTGCTGGGGGACAGGTGGCAGCCAGGGAGGTGGTTGGCGGTCCTGAACCCAGAAGATGGAGGCCAGGGCAGGCCTGGATCCCCTCTCCCTCTCTACTGGTTCTTACCCCACCACCACCACCCCTCTAGTTCTGGGAGGTGATCAGTGATGAGCATGGCATCGACCCCACGGGCACATATCATGGGGACAGCGACCTGCAGCTGGAGAGAATCAACGTATACTACAATGAGGCCACAGGTAGGATGCAGGGGCACCTTCTGGAGTGGGGGTGGGAAGGCATGGGGGGACTGCATGCTGGTTCCTGGCGCTCACCCCAGCTGACCTCCATCTGCTTCCCGGCAGGAGGAAATTACGTGCCCAGAGCCGTGCTGGTGGACCTGGAGCCAGGAACCATGGACTCCGTCCGCTCCGGCCCCTTCGGCCAGATCTTTCGGCCTGACAACTTTGTGTTTGGTGAGTGCCAGGCATGGAGTACAGGCAGGGAAGCCCCTTGCTCCTTTGACTTCCAAATGCTTAGTGAAAACTCACCCTCACAGGCCCCACAGATCAGGGGGGGAGGCAGAGAAGGCAGTCAGGGCTATGTTGGCGACAGCCAGCCGGGCGACTGTGGGAGCCCAGGGGAGGCATCTGATACAGTGGCAGGGGTGGGTGGGGTGCATTGGGGTTGGGTGGGGGTGGGTAAGGAAGGCTTCCTGCATGAAAACCCCAGCTCTGCCACTTCATACATTCTACACAGATTTATTGAGCACCTACTGCATGCGGGTCCTACTATATCCCCGGGGGGATACACATGAGAACAAAACAGACAAAGCTCTCTTCTCCCCTGGAGCTGGCACCCTGGTGGACGGAGGGAGAATGGCAATATAAGCAAGTAAAGCTCAGGCACTGATCCAGTCAGCTGGGTGACTCTGGGCAGTCTCTCCGTGCTCATCTCCTCATCTTTAAAATAGGGATAAAAAATCTACTTCACAGGCTTGTGTGGCTCAAAGCCATTAATATGTGTAAAGGATTTAGCCCTAACCGGTTTGGCTCAGTGGATAGAGGGTCGGCCTGTGGACTAAAGGGTCCCAGGTTCGATTCCAGTCAAGGGCATGTACCTTGGTCGAGGGCACATCCCCAGTAAGGGGTGTGCAGGAGGCAGTTGATCAATGTTTCTCTCCATCAATGTTTCTAACTCTCTATCCCTCTCCCTTCCTCTCTGTAAAAAATCAATAAAATATATTTTAAAAATATATATGTGTAAAGGATTTAGAACTATGCCTAGCACCGAGAAAAAGGTAAATAAAGCACTTGTTGTTTTCACGATCATTATTGTTATTAATGTCTGCAGCCTAAAAGATGATTAGGGCATGGAAAGGCAGGAAGGATGTACAAGACAGAGGGAACAGCTGAAGGGAGGGGCAAGGATGGAAGCAGAGAGGACAATGAATAATCATCACAACAAAATTATAATAATTTATGTTATCTATAATAATAATTTTGTCATTATTGTTCAACCACTAGGATGGCTGGGGGAGGGGCTGGGGAGGCTCTTCCCACAAGGGCCCGTGTGTCCCGTTCCCTTCCCTCTCAGGCCAGTCCGGAGCCGGCAACAACTGGGCCAAGGGCCACTACACGGAGGGCGCGGAGCTGGTGGATGCCGTCCTGGACGTGGTCCGAAAGGAGGCTGAGAGCTGCGACTGCCTGCAGGGCTTCCAGCTGACCCACTCGCTGGGCGGGGGCACGGGATCCGGGATGGGCACGCTGCTCATCAGCAAGATCCGGGAGGAGTTCCCCGACCGCATCATGAACACCTTCAGCGTGGTGCCCTCGCCCAAGGTGTCGGACACGGTGGTGGAGCCCTACAACGCCACGCTGTCCGTGCACCAGCTGGTGGAGAACACGGACGAGACCTACTGCATCGACAACGAGGCCCTGTACGACATCTGCTTCCGCACCCTCAAGCTGACCACGCCCACCTACGGGGACCTCAACCACCTGGTGTCCGCCACCATGAGCGGGGTCACCACCTGCCTGCGCTTCCCCGGCCAGCTGAACGCCGACCTGCGCAAGCTGGCCGTGAACATGGTGCCCTTCCCCCGCCTGCACTTCTTCATGCCCGGCTTCGCGCCGCTGACCAGCCGGGGCAGCCAGCAGTACCGCGCCCTGACGGTGCCCGAGCTCACCCAGCAGATGTTCGACGCCAAGAACATGATGGCCGCGTGCGACCCGCGCCACGGCCGCTACCTGACGGTGGCCGCCGTGTTCCGGGGCCGCATGTCCATGAAGGAGGTGGACGAGCAGATGCTGAGCGTGCAGAGCAAGAACAGCAGCTACTTCGTCGAGTGGATCCCCAACAACGTGAAGACGGCCGTGTGCGACATCCCGCCGCGGGGCCTGAAGATGGCAGCCACCTTCATCGGCAACAGCACGGCCATCCAGGAGCTGTTCAAGCGCATCTCGGAGCAGTTCACCGCCATGTTCCGGCGCAAGGCCTTCCTGCACTGGTACACGGGCGAGGGCATGGACGAGATGGAGTTCACCGAGGCCGAGAGCAACATGAACGACCTGGTGTCCGAGTACCAGCAGTACCAGGACGCCACGGCGGAGGAGGGCGAGTTTGAGGAGGAGGCCGAGGAGGAGGTGGCCTAGACCACCTCATTCATTCACCCCTGTCGGCCCCCACCCGCGCTGGGCTGCTCACCTTTGACCCCTTAGAGCTCCTCTTGGGCCCCTGAGAACCCTGCAGCACCACCAAGCCTGACTCAGCTCTGACCCTCTGACCCTACAACCTTGACTTCTCCCCTGATCTCAGCTGACCTTCGACCCCTGAGCCCCACTTTGGCCCACATTTAACTCCATGAACCCTGTTTCTCCGTGACCTCTCCTTCACCTATGACCTTACCCACCACCCCAATGCACTCCCAGGCAAATAAACCCCAGTCTACTTTCGACCCCCTCTCCCTCTGAGCCTCCCTTCACCTCTGACCTTGCCTCACCTTTGACCCCACCACCCTCTGACCCCACCTGCTCTCTGGCTTCTGTAGGCCCCTGTTTTATCCCTGAACTCACTCCCCTCAACTCCAACTGACCTTGGCTTTCCAGGGCTGGTGGAGGGCAGCTGTGTGGGGAGAAGCAGCCCTGGAACGTGTGGACAAGAGAGGCTGTGCCCCCATCCCGCCCCACCTCCTCCCTCTGGCTTACCCTCAATAAATAAATTGTTGTCTTGCCATGTTTCTGCTGAGTGCATTTTCCATCTCCCTGTGGGAAGGCCAACAAGCAAGGGCTCCCCCTAAAGGATGGAGGTGGGTGCTGAAGGGATATCTAATCTGGGGAGGAAGAAAGGGGGCAGAAATTCTAGAGTGAGACGGGGCTATGCCACTAACTGTGTGGTGTTGGGTAAGCACTTGTGCTCTCTGATCCTCGATTTGCTCACCTGTAAAATGGGATTGTATATTTGCCCCATGACCCCCCCAACACACACCCCAGGAATGTTTGTGAGGATTCGAGGAGCTCTTATGGGCATAGTGCCTGGCACAAGGAGTACTTGGCAATGGAGCTGTTGCCATTTTCTGTGGGCATCTAGCAAGTATGGAAAGCAGAAGGGGAGTCTTTAGGGAAGGGCACTGGGGAGATGGCAACCTGGAACTAGCATCCAAGGGACAGTCCTATCAGAATAACAGTCGCTAACACGGATGGAGCACTTCGATGTCCTGACATGCCTCATCTCATGTAACTCTCACACAAACCCTGTAAAATCTGAGCTTTTGTCTCCTTTCCAACCAAGGTTTAGATATACAAAGCATATCCATTAGCTTTTCTTGTGTAGCTATCCCCAAAAAGTTTAGGGGCTTAAAACAACAACAGTCATTTATTTAGTTCTCAAATCTGTGATTTGGGCAGGGCTTGGAAAGGCAGCTTGTCTCTGCTCCCCGTGGCATCAGCTAGGGAATCTCAACTGAGGGATTTACTTCAAGGTGGCTCACTCCTATGGCTGCCAAGTTAATGCCAACTGTCCTCTGGGCATGCAACGGGGGCAGATAGAATGAGAGCATCAGTACCTCTCCATAGTCTGCTTGGGCTTCCTCACAGCAGTCCCCAAAAGCAAGCATCCCAGGAGAGCAAGCAAAATGCATTGCATTTTTCTGACCTAGCTTCAGGAGTCACTTGGTGTCCTCTGGACTGCTCAAAGTCATGTCCATGTTCAAGGGAGTGGGATGTAAACTCTACACACACCTCTGGAGTGCAGAGAGGCAAGATTCCCCAAGAGCATGTGGGGTGGGAGATATAAGGCTGTAGCCATCTTTGGAAATTACAGTTTGGTCCCATGACTATGAAGCAGTGAGCTTCATAGCCTGACAGTTCAAAGCCTGACAGTTTAAGTCTAGAACTCTTATTCCACTTCAGTGTAAAAACCATTCTAGGCAAATTAAGCAGAAAGGAATTTAATATAAGAATTACAACACCGTTGGAGGGACTGAGAGAGTGGGCTGTAAGCAAGTGATTCTTAAACTTCAGTGTGCAAAAGAATCACCAGGAACACTTTGCTAGCACACAGCTTCCTAGGCCCCACCCTAGAGTTTCTGATTCAGCAGGGCTGGGGCCCAAGACCTTGCATTTTTAACAAGTTCCCAGGTGAGGCTGCCTATGAGACCACATTCTGAGTAGCCCGGAAATAGGCCGGCACAGCACAAAGCTGACCACTAGGGAGCTGCTTCCTCTGCTTAGTGAGAAAGGTGGAGAGCCAACAGGCTGCCATCAGAGCCATTAATTAAGTTCAAGAACACCTCCCAAGACCCACATAGCTGAACATAGGTCCACTGGAGTGCTCTGCAAAAATCAACTAAAATGAATATAAAGTTAATTAAATATCCAGCAGGATTCTCACACACACACACACACACACACACACACACGGAGGAGGGGAGGTCTACCTCACTTCTACCTTCCAATCTCTCAAGCATTTCTAGTTGGTAGAATCTGCATCCAAAACCAGAGCTACAAAGAAGTCTAGGAAATGTGGTTCTTCTCAGCTTCTGCAGTACAAAGGAAGGCAAACCAGAAGGAAGAGAAAGAAGAAAGGAGGGATACTGAGAGCCAACTAACTATTCCCATCACACTCTATGCTGGGACCCAGCCTTTCCCCACCCACCACCACCACCACTGGGCCCCACCACAGGCAGGCAGGAGGCAGGAGAAGAGTGAGAAAGGCAGCCTGGATATCCAGCCCACAGCAACCCGCATCTGAGCAGGCCCAGCACAGCACTGGGTGGTGGAGCAGACAGTGGACTAGGCCAGTGGTCGGCAAACTGCAACTCGTGAGCCACATGCGGCTCTTTGGCCCTTTGAGTGTGGCTCTTCCACAAAATACTGACTTCTGCGCATGGGCCACGAAGTTTCAATCGCACTGTACATACGTGCCTGCACGTGGTATTTTGTGGAAAAGCCACACTCAAGGGGCCAAAGAGCCGCATGTGGCTCACGAGCCGCAGTTTGCCGACCACTGGACTAGGCAATGAACTTGGCTGTCTTTGGCATCTCCAACCTAATGTGGCCACAAAAGAACTCCCTATTCTACCCCTAAAACATCCCTTTTCCCAATAAGCAATGCCGTCCTCTCGCTCAAACCCCAAATCTAGGAATCAGCTTTGATTCCTCGTTTCCCACACCAAGCACACTCTTCCTATCTTTTGTTGAGTCCATTGTTTCTTCTTCAAACTGTGGCCTGTAACCACCTGTCTATACTCTGATCTAAGCCACCGTAATTGTTCATACAGATAACCCCAATCACTTCCCTGAGTCCCCTCCTGCCACCCCTACCCCTGCACTGTATCCTCCTTCTGCAACAGCCAGATGAGCTTTCACAAGCAAATAAGAACTTGTCTATTCCCTACTCCAAACTGCCCCATGACTTCAGTCTCACTCAGATTGAAATCCAAACTCTCACCTTTGTCTTCGCCCCCTGTTGACTACATCCCCATCACCCTCCCTCTCACTCAATAAACTGTGACCTTCTTCATGTGCTCAATCATATCAAGTTTGATTCAACCTCAAGGCCTTTGCACAGCCTGTTTCTACTATTTCTTTTCCTCGAATGTGTGAATGGCTAGCCCCTTTTCACCCACAGGTGTCAGTTCAAATGATATCTCCTTTGAGCAGCCTCCCTGGCAACTCTAAGTTAGCACCCAGTAGCTCTGCATCACTTATCTGTTTACATACTTGTTTCTCCCAACTGAAATGTAAGATTCATGAGGACAGGAATCTACCTTGGTCAACACATGCCTAGAACAGCTTGACACAGCACAGGCCCTCAGTAATTATTTGTTGAATGGATGAGCAAGCAAATGAATGATTTTATGCCACACTGGTAGGTAAGTGAGAGTTCTGTTTTCCTCATATCAAAGTGAGGAAACAAAGACACAGAGAGTGTGGAGATGGCTTCTAAGATGGCCCCAGTGATCCCATTTCCTCCATTCATGCCCTTGAGTGATCTCCTCCCCTTGAGTTTGGGCTGGACCTGGCAGTGGCTTCTAACCAACAAGGTATGGCAAAGGTGATGAAATGTCCCTTCTGAGATTGGGTTACAAAAAGCTGTGGCTTCTGTCTTGATGAACTCCGTTGCCTTCTCAGCTTGCTCAATTTGGTAAAGCAAGCAACATGTTGGGAAGGTTCACATGGCAACGAACTGAAGGCAGCCTTGGCCAACAGCCAGCAAGGAACTGAGGCCCTCAGTCCAATAATCCACCATGAACTAAATCCTGCCAGCAGTCACGCAGGGAGTTTTCAAAGAGCTCCTTCTCCAGTCAAATCACAATGACCTTCTTCATGTGCTCGATCATATCAAGTTTGATTCAACCTCAGGGCCTTTGCACAGCCTGTTTCTACTATTTCTTTTCACCACATGTGTGAATGGCTAGCTACAGCTCAACAGATTATAGCTGAGACACCCTGTTGTAGAGGACCCAGCTAAGCTGTGCCCAGAGCCCTGGTCCTCACAGAAACTGTCAGATCATAAATGTGTATTCTTTCAAACCACTAACTTAGGGACATTTAATACACCGCAATAGTAACTAATACATAGAGATCAAATGACTTGCCTAAGGTCACATAGACACTAAAGAACTGAATCAGGTCTTGAACCCAGGTCTCTCTGTCTCCAAAATCATTCCCTTAACCACTTACCTGACCTGCCTTTCATAATAACAGAACATATCAAAAGCTTGATTCAGGTTTGAAAGTTTGTCTATGGATCCTTGTTTTTCAACACGGCATCTGTATGCCTATGTGTCTGTCTCTTTCTAAGTCTGCAGCTCTGACTGGGTGTGCCCAACTCTGTCTCTCTCCGTGCACTTAACTATGTCTGGCTGTGAATCTGACTTGTGGCTGAGCCCTGACTTTGTCTGTCCCTTTGTTACTGCTCTAGCTATGCCTCTGTTCTATGTATTTCCGTCTGTCTTCTGAGTTTATTTCTCTATTATCTTGCTTGCATTGACAGCTGTGATCTCTGTATGTGTGCCCATCTGTCTGTTGCCCTGTCTGGAACTGTTTATGGCTGCAACCTTGTGTTATCTCTCTGCATCTGTCACCTGTGTGGGTGAGGACTGCTCCTTGTGTGTGTTGTCCCTCTGAGCTTGTCGGTTTGTGTCCGTGACTGTGGCCTGCCTGAATGCCTTGGTATCTTTGTGTTTGTCTACTGTCTGTGACTGTTCTGGTCTGTCTGTCTGTGTCAGTCATTTCTGGCTGCATGTGTGTTATCTGTCAAGCGTTTGTGCCTGTGTTCTGACCACAGTTGGTCGTCTGATTCTGGGGTGTCCTGTGCCATTCTGAGGCCCAGCTCCCTCTGGTGGTCCAACAAGGAATAGCTGGTGCAGATGGACCAAAGGAAAGAAGAGTTGAGGGAAGAGGAAGTACTTTAGGCAAACTGAATCATGGGCTGCACAGAGAGGGGAAGGATTGGGTATGATAGCAGGGACCACACGTGGCCTGGCCTGGCCCGGCCTGGCCTGGCAGGATGGGACTGGGGTCTGGTCTCTGAGCCACCCATTGCCCACCCATCACGAGGAAGGGCTAGGAGACAGGATGCCTGGTTTTCTCGAAGTGAGTGGGGGCAGGGACATACCTCCGGGGACGTCACCCATTAAACTTCCTCTCTCTGCCACACAGGAAGCTGAGCCGGCTCAGGGCCCAGGCCCGAGCAAGCACGGGCCCCCAGAACCCTTGGGGAAAGGGCCCCACC